CCCCTGAAATCATGTTCGCATTAGTTTCAACTTATCCTGTCTTGACTTTGGCATTTTGTTCTTTGTGAAATTTTATACTAATTTCAGTTCTTTAAAATGTTTACATTAAAATATTACCTATTCTGATTACTAAGTTGGAGGCCCCTTAAATTTTATAAACAAATGGGGCCGACCCTGTGGCGTAGTGGATCGGCTCAGCTCCAGCCATTGCAGCCATCCGGGGTGTGAATCAGCAGATGGAAGACCTCTCTCTGTCTCTCTCTCTCTCTCTCCCCTTCTGCCTCTCTGTAACTCTGACTTTCAAGTAAATAAATCAAAAATAAATAAATAAATAAATAAATAAATGTTAGAAACAGATCTCAGCCCTACTGCCAGCCTTGCCAACGCCTGCCCCACAAGGTCTCTCCTGGCCTCTTCCCTCTCCTCCGTCTGCCCTACTTTGCCCTTGCATGATCAGCAATGACCTGGGGAGGGAGGAGGGGGAGCAATGGCAGGCGTGCTAACTCGGGAAATCTTCAGGATCCACTTGGGCCTGTGAGAATGCAGACACAACACAGATATCAATATATCACCATGGATATATTCCTATTTTATGTGTTCATATATATTCAGCCTCCGTAATTGGATAAACCAGTCTCTCATAATAAATCTATAGCCTATATGTACACACACATCAGCCTACACGCATATCTTATACCATTCTATCTCACACACATATTGTATGTACATAAATTTATTACAAGGGATCGTCTCATGTTATTATACAGGATGCAAAGTCCCACGATCTGCCACCTGCCAACTGGAAGCCCAGGAAAGCTGAGAACATAGTTCCAGTTCAAGGGAAAGGCATGAGAACCGGCAGAGCCAATCCCAGAAGGCCCAGGCAGAAGGCCCAGGCAGGAGCACCAGTGCTCCAGGTCAGGAGACGTTAGTCCTCACTCAAGAATAGACAGGAGGGGCTGTATCTTGGGAGAGCGGGTTAAGCCACCTCTGAGAACCCGGCCCCCATGTCAGAGCACCAGTTTAAGTCCCAGCTGTTCTGCTTCCCACCCAGCCCCCTGCTAATGCACCCAGGAAGCAGCAGGTGAGAGCCCAAGAACTTGGGACCCCATCATGGGACTCCTGAAGGGAGTTCCTGGCTCCCGGCTTCAGCCAGGCCCAGTCCCTGCTGTTGCAGTCATCTGAGTGAACCACTGGATGGAAGAGCTCTCTCCCTACCTTTCTCCCTCTCTCTCTGTCACTCCTGAAAGGAAGAGGAGGGGGAGAGGAGGGGAGGCAGGGAGAGCAGTCCACCCTGCAGGACCTCTGTGATCTCTGCAGGCCCTTCATGGTGCAGCAGGAGCAGGTGCAGCTCCGGCCTCAGGGTGCTGTTTACTCAGTCTACCTACTCAAATGCTAATCGCTCCCCAAAGCACCCTCACAGAGACACCAGACAAGGTAACCGTGAATTAACCACAGCCAGGCCACTTTCCCGGCAGCAACCTGTGCTGAAGGGGAGAGGATTCTGCCTCTGAGAGCAGCTGGAGTGTCGGCCCCGTCGTGGACCACACATCTTAGTGCCTGAGGGGGCAGCGGATGTTGCGACCTGACAGGAACAGATGATTTTTCCCAATCTGAGAGTCAGGAGAGGGGCTGCCCAGAGTGGATTTGAGCCAGGACCTGTGGGTCAGGGTGCCATATGGTTGCTTTGGACTCCACCATAGAAATCAGGTTTTTTTAATTTTTTATTTAGTTTCATTTTATTTGAAAGGCAGGGGCTGGTACTGTGTCGTAGTGGGCTAAGCCTCCGCCTGAGGCACTGGCATCCCACATGGGTGCCCATGCTCCTAGCTGCTCCTCTTCTGATCCAGCTCTCTGCTATGGCCTGGGAAAGCAGTAGAAGATGGCCCAAGTGCTTGGGCCCCTGCACCTGCGTGGGATTCTCGGAAGAAGCTCCTGGCTCCTGGCTTTGGATCAGCCCAGCTCTGGCTATTGCAGCCTTTTGGGGAATAAGCCAGCCGATGGAAGACCTCTCTCTGTGTGTCTCTACCTCTCTCTCTCTCTCTAACTCTACCTCTCAAATAAATAAAATCTTAAAATAAAGAAAGAAAGGCAAAGGGGTAAGAAGGGGAGAGAGAGAGAGAGAGAGAGAGAGAGAGAGAGAGAGAGAGAGAGGTTTTCCATCCTCTGATTCACTCCCCCAAATGCCCACAACAGCCAGGACTGGGCCAGGCCAAAGCCTAGGCCCAGGAACTCAATCCAGGTCTGCCGTGTGTGTGGCAGAGTCAGCTACTACTGCCTCCCAGGGGGTGCATCGGCAGGAGGCTGGGATTGGAGGGGGAGCCAGGGTTTGAACACGGGCACTGCAGGATAGGACGCAAGCACCCCAAGCAGCATCTGAACCCATGTGCCACACGCCTGCCCTCGGAAGTCAGTTCTTTTGGCCTGCATCACCTGCCGGGCAGCATTGCCCCTCCACGAAGCAGCCATGTATAAACAGAGGCTGTGGCTGCAGCCGTTCTCTGGTGCTTTCTGTACCTACGTTCCCAGACCGTGACTGGCTCATGTCATTGTCTGAAAGGTGCAGCTCTTTTTCAGCCCTCTTCCCACCCCTGCGAGAAAACATCTCCTCTTCTTTGCCCTTTAAAAGGCTTCCTGCCCCATCCTGGAGTAGGAACCATGCCTTTATGCTTCTGATCTTTTCATCTAAACTGACAATACACCTTTAATTTTAAGAATGAATTTTAAAATCAACAAATCTCCAACTACTTTCTTTTCCCTCCTCCAATTATAAATTCCTTTTCAGTCTCACTCAGTCTTATCTTGGTTTTAATATCTTTCCCTTCCAATGTTATTCTGCAACAGTTTCCTATGGGAATGCCAGGTCCTCTGTGTTCCGTGTCTCTATTAGTTTCTGTGTCTCTGCACCAGGAACACTTCCAGGGCAACAACTCAATTACTCCGAGACAACGGGAAAGGGAAAGCTACCTGTGAGGCCAGTGACAATGTCATTTGTATGAAGTCAGTGTAACTGGCTGGAAAGCTCTGTGAGAAAAGAGAGAGTACTCTAGTCTTCAGGAAGTCGGAGAAATAGAGACCAGGGATGGCATTTGGCCCAGGGTTCAGATGCCAGCAGTCACCCACATCACATGTAGGAGTGTTTGGTTCAAGAGCCAAGCGCTCCCCTTCTGATCCAGCGTCCTGTAAGTGTGCGTCCTGGGAGGCAGCAGGTCTTTAGGACTGGCACACCTGGTAAACTGAGTCCCGAGTAAGAAGGACCCTGAGGATGTCAGGATGGAATTTTATGGCCTGAGATTCTGCTGGGTCTGGCTCTTACAGCTGCCTGCTTGCCTGGGACATCGGAAGCTGATAAGAGCAAGTGTGTACATTGTTGACTTCAGTGAACACCTGTCAAGGGAGTCTCTGTTCAAACTCACCTTATCACAACAGATGTGAGTCTCTGCACCTCGGCACAGCCCCGTGCAACAAACAGCATACATGGGCTGTGGCCCACTGCCTGGTGAGATGACTCCTCAGAACCTGCACCCCACCCAGGCAGCTGCCACCTTACTTTCCCCTTACTCTGCTGTCCTGTCTTCAGTAAGTATTCTCCACTTCCTTGCATTCTGGGGACCCTAAAAATCCCAGAGAATCCCTGCTGCCCACATGGGAGACCTGGATTGAGTTCCAAGCTCCTGGCTTTGGCCTGGCCCACTCCTGGCTGTTGCAGGGATTTGGGGACTACTAGACAAGTGGATGGAAGCTCGCTCGCTCTCTCTCTCTCTCTCTCTCTCCCTGCCTTTCAAGCAAGATGAAAATAAATAAAAATGTGAACATTGTTTAAAAAAATAAAAATAGAAACTAAAAGGAGGGGTCTGCTAAAGTTTGTCAAGTTCCCCCATTTTCCAGGCTGCACAGGAGATTACAGCAAGTTGGTCATGACTTCTGTTAAGAAGCCGAAGGGAATTACGGACCTAATGCCAAGTAAAGTTTGCTCAGGGGTTGCACATTCACCCACCAACAGGAACTCCAAAGCCAAGTCCATGTACAAAGCTGGCAGAATCTAAGAAAACCCCACATGTTAATAAATAGATATAGATATAGATATAGATATATACTTAGAAATGGTCTCTGTTCTCACAGAACTGTTGTCTGTCTTACTTCTCAAAACTTGCAATCCCTTTGGTCTTTCTGTTTTTACAGAATCATGCTACTTCCTTGAATACTGCTTTAAGAAAACCAACAGGGTGAGTATGATAGCAACAGCAGCTGACACTCAGTGTGACATACAAAAGAGGGAATAAGGGAGACAGTGAATGAAGGAGTCTACAAGCCCCCTCTAGTGGGGACGGCTGCCACCCAGCACTAGCACTGTCACCATGTGGGAACACTGACTTGTGCAGCCACATAGTTCTGTTTGCAAAAAATCCAGGTGTTTGTGTTATTCCATCTTCCATCCTATTCTGAAAAGTTGAATTGGTTTGAACACTGTGGGCCCCTACTGATGGGCTGAACTTTCCCAGAGGAACACACGTCACGCCTCCTGTACACTCAAATGTTGTCACGCTTCGCTAAATATTTGTATAAATAAAGTAGGAAGAGGGTCATCTGTTTAGTTCCCTTTTCCTATGAAATATAGAAATACATACATATTTACAAATACACACAGGTTATATATGTATAAAACAAATTCGGATTAACCCAGTAGTGTGCAGGACTCTACCAGGCCCCGTTCAATCTCCCGTCCCCAACAGCCCTGACCCAGGAGCATGTTCAAAAAGAAGCAACTCAGATGCAATATAACAGCTGCCCCTCGAGGTGAGACTTGATTTAGAACTCCTATTTGAAGCCATTGCTTGCTTCCTCTGTCCACAGCTTCTTAGTCTATGGACTACAAGAAGTGACTCCTGCTCAGAAGTCACTCGGACTTCCTGTTCCATGTGTCTGACTTCCGGCCTCCCTAAAAGGTCATTCTCAAGATCATAGTAAGACTGGCCTTGTGAGACTTGGCCACTACTTACCTGGGGCAGCTGGCCGTGCCTGAGAGGCTTATAGGACAATGGGTGTTTCTGAGGTCTTTTTCCTGTAAGGGGGAGGGTATGTTTCACAGTCAGCAGCCACTCCCAGCAGCTGGCCGTCCTGTCATCCTGTGATGAAGGGCATCTGGGATACCACTAGATGCAGTAGCCACAGAGCCCAACACAGCCCTGTTATGGCCACACAGAGGGCAAGTGGATGTCACTGAAGCGTCTGTAGGAGTTGAGGGCTGGGCCACAGGACCCGGGGGCTCCAGAAGACGAGAGAGAGATCAGCAGAATCCACGGGAGCTCAGAGCACCTCCAGCAGAGTGGGAGAGGAGACCCCATGCCAAAAAAAAAGAATGAATGCGCCATTTCCGCGGCCCCACTGGGGAACATGGTTCAAGATGTGGCGATGTGGCGAGCACCCTGGGGCGGCTCCCTGGGTAACAGTCAGGTCCCTCCTGGGCTTCCGTCCGCAGCCGCAGCAGCCGCCATGACGGCGGCCCCAGGAGGTCGGGGACGGCGGGTTTCCGTTAACGGCGAGGACGGTCTACACTGGCGAGGAGACGGTGGCGCTCACCAGGTCTGTGGAATTAATACTTTTTCCGTTAAGAATCGGGTTTTGTAAACATTGGGACAGTCTATGTACTTGGGACTTAATGTGTCTAAGATAGTCTAGAGAATTTAGTATGTTAAAGAATAACCCGTTAGCCTGGCACTTCTTGCTGAAAAACTGAGATTACGTTAAATTAGATTGTGCCTCTTAGGTCCATGGGTGTTAAGTGTCCCAGCTGTGCTGAAGCACCTACGACTCACAGGGGCCGAGTGTGGCACCGCCAGCGTCCACGCCAGCGTCCACCCGGATCGTTTAAGTCCCGGCCGCTCCGCTCGGCCCGGCTCCTGTTAACGTGCCTGGAGGGCGGAGGAGGACGCTCCAGGAGTCGGGTTCCTGCCACCTGCGGGAGCCCCGAGCGCAGCTCCCAGCCCTGGGCTCTGGCTCGGCCCAGCCGTGGCGTTTGCAGCTGTCTGGGGAGTGACCAGTGCACAGAGGGTCTCTGGCTCAGCCCCTGTCTCTCTCTGCTTTTTGAATAAATAACTGAATCTTTAAAAAAACTGTAACGCGCTGGTAATCCTGTGAGATTTGTTTAGTGATGTTTAAATACTTGGGAGAGGTTCCTTATTTGTTTATACATTTAGAAAGCTTTCAAAATGAAAAGGGATTCATTACCTTTATAAATAATGTTTAAATTTTTAAAATTTTATAAACTGGGCTAAATAGGACCGTTTGATAAATAAAAATATGATATGAAGTATAAAAATTAAAATTCTTTTTAAAAATTCAACATTAATAAATATTCACGTTAGCAGCCCAGCTACTACAAGCACTTATCAAGGATGACAGAAACCTTACTCTGGCATAGAATAAGGATCTCAGGAAACTATTATCCCAGTCCTCTTCCCTTGTTAGCTGTGTGAGCTTGAGAAAGTCGCTCTATCTCGCTGGTCCTCAAGAATTTTCCTCGTAAGAAGGGCTGGGTGGGCTGGTCCCTGAAGCCCCCTCCAGGTCTGAAATCCTAAAACAGCAGCGCGACTCTCTCCGTGGGCCATCTGTGTGGCTGTGCTGCCGCCCTGGCTGCTGGCACCTCCGTCAGAAGCCTGGCTGGCATTTCTCCCGGGACTCGCTTGCTTTATGGTTTTTGATTGCATCCTATGTACCTGTTTATTTTTAAGCCTTAAGAAAACACTTCCTTCCCCAGTCCTACCTAAGACAATAGGGCAAGCATCAACAGGAAAATTCTCACCATCTACAGAACAGTCTGACTTTCCTTAAGCCCTGGGACCTAGACTTGGCTCTGGAAGCCAGTTGTTTACTCCACATTATCCATACAGTGTCACAATACCTGCTCACAAGAGTTAGCTCCATTCTCAAGTCAGATCAAAGACACTGAGTGGATCAGACAGTGAGGCAAGATTCTCACGACCTTACAGACAAGCAACCAGGCACTCGCTTTCGGGGCCAATTACTTAGCTGAGCCACCTCTTCCAATGCTCAGGGTTGACTGTGGGCAAGATTGCCGTGTGGCCAAGATTGTTTCACAGGCAAATCCCCTTTCAAACCTGACCTTGACAGTGTTCCTGCCACCGGCCCCTTCACCTGTGTCCCAGTCTTACTGATTTCTGCTCTGGGTTGGTTCTCAGTGCCACCATGAATGAACTCTGTGGCCAGCTGATTAGACTGTGCACCTGCCTAACTCCACTGTCCACAGGTCAGCATCCCCATGCCCGCGGGTGGGGACTGTCCAGCCTGCAGGCCACATAAAGCCAGCAAAATCATTGGGTCTGGCCCTGCCAAGGCAACTACAGGCAAGACTCGAAATTCAGTGTATCTATTGCAGTCTAATTTTCAAGCTGATAATTACGTGTGGCCCACAGATGATGCTATAAATATCCAAATGGCTGTTGGAGAAAAAAGTTTCCCCAGCCCCGCTCTAGGGATGTGCAGTGACCCCTGTGTCACATTGGACAAGATGATGATTTCTCTGGGATCCAGCTTCTTTTCTAAAGGGGTAATAGTGCTGACTTACAAGCTTCGAGATTTCATTTCATATAAAGTACTTAGCACGAAGCCTGACAGAAAGTAACAAATGGCATCTCAATAATTATTATTAGCAGTTCTTAACTTTGACAGGACTTCAATACATGTGTGGAATTCCCATCAGAATAATAGCAGTCATCGGGGCAGGCATTCCATGCAGCGGTTAGCACGCTGCTAGGGACACTCACATCCCGTATCAGGGTGCCTGGTTCAAGTCTGCGCTACTCCGTTCTTGCTGCAGCTTCCTGCTCGTGCGCACCCTGGGAAGCAGCAGGTACTAGCCCAAGCACCTACGTCACTGCCGCCCTTGTGGGAGATCCCAGTGGAGGTCAGGCTCCGTCCTGAGGTCTGGCACAGCCCTGGCTGTTGCATGCATTTGGGGAGTGAACCAGCAGATGTAAGGTATTTCTCTCTCTCTCTCTCTCTCTCTCTCTCTCTCTTTCTCTCTGTGCCCCTCCCTTTCAACCTTTCAAATAAAATGAAAATAAACAAGTTTTTAACAAAAGGCAAAACTGTTATCATCACCAAGTCCATTCTTCAGCCAGTGTTGTATTGGAAGAAGCTGGGTCATCAGTACCAGGTTAGCAACTGAGGGCCCCACGGTGTCTCCCTAGAGAGCAGAGGCGGAGACAATGCCATGGCTGAGAAAGAACTTCTAAGATAGATACCATTCACAATAGCTACAAACAAAAATTAAATACCTCAGAATAAATTTATCAAGGATGTCAAAGATCTCTACAATGAAAATTAAAAAACAAATTTTATGTATCAAAAAAGCATATATTTGTTAACTAAAAAACCCTAAAAAAGGAAAATTACAAACCATTAAACAAAGAAATGTGACAGGGCAACTTAAGAAATTTGTAACTTGGGGCTGGCACTGTGGCGTAGTAGGTTAATCCTCTGCCTGAGGCACCGGCATCCCATATAGGCACCGGTTCTAGTCCCGGCTGCTCCTCTACCCGTCCAGCTCTCTGCTGTGGCCTAGGAATCAGTCAGAAATCAAACTGGTACCCATATGGGGTGCTGGCGCTGCAGGTGGAGGCTTTACCCACTAGGACACAATGCAGACTTCCCATCTGGTTTTTTCAAAACATGTATTTGAAAGGCAAACTGACACAAAGAGACAAAGATATTCCAACTGATGTGGTGTGCCAGCGTTGCGAGTGATGGCTTAACCTGCTGTGCTCCAGAACCAACACTCTCCACATCAGTTCTGATGACGTTGCTCCAGGTCTGCTTCAGATACACCCTAAAATTATTTTTAAATAACTTATTTAAAAATTTCCTAGGTGGCCTGAATCTTCATTTGTTGAAAACGCTCAAGTTCTGGAAAGTTACCAACAGATCTTTATATTTTTATAGAAGATTCATTTACTTATTTGAAAGTCAGAGTTACATTGAGAGAGGAGAGGTAGAGAGAGAGAGAGAGAGAGAGAGAGAGGTCTTGGATTCGCTGGTTCATTCCCCAGTTGGCTGCAACGGCCAGAGCCATGCCAGTCAGTAACCAGGAGTCAGGAGCCTCTTCTGGGTTTCTTATGCACCTGCAGGGGCCCAAGCACTTGGGTCATCTTCTACTGCTTTCCCAGAGCATAGCAGAGAGCTGGATCGGAAGTGGAGCAGCCAGGTCCCGACTGGCGCCCATATGGGATGCTGGCACTGCAGGAGGCGGTTTACCTGCTATGCCACTGCACTGGCCCCTGCCTACATATCTTAATAGACCCTCTGGCCAGTTCCTTTGTATGCATCACACAGCCACCACACACAATGGAATGGGCCATGGGCTCTGGCCAGGTCTGGACCTTTCAGGGCCAGTGTCTCCATGGCCAGTGATTAGGATGTCAGGACGACACAGGGACAAGGCAAAGATTTGTGTATGTTCAACTTTTATTAATGAGATACAAGAGGTATGCAGAGACTTCTGGGAAAGTCTTCCCTTGAGAGAGGCAACAGGAAGCAGCTCTTCTTTCTGGACAAGGATGCACCTAGGGAATGCGGTCCAGATCATCTCAGAGGGCAGAGGAAAGAATTACAGACGCAGAATAACACGGATAAACCAATCCCCAGAGCACAGTCTTCCTTTCATTGGGTGGTGTGAGCTTCCCGTTCCTTCAACTTTTGGGTTGGGTTTTCACTCTCTTGCCACAGTAAGCATTTCAAGTCCATTAGTATTACAGAATTCATTATTTAAGGAAATGCTGCTTAGTATTACAGATGTACAAAGTGAGACGCACCTGCTCTGTGCCTAAACAAAGGCATCTCATACACATTCACTCTGCACTGTGTGTGGTGTGTGGCTACCACTGATACCTGTGGCATGTTGTATTGTTAACTGTATACAGCTGAGGAGTGGTGCTGGCGTGTCAGAGGTGCTACAGGGACCTGCCTATGCTCAGTGCCGTCCTGGGATGCTGACTATCTCTGATGAAGAACAGGTCAAGGCATTTGCTTCCAGACGGGACCAGAGGCCTGTTGTTTATCTGTCCATACAATATCCTAGGAAGCACAAAGGACCCTGGGAACAAAGGACGACCTCTCCCTTTCGGGGGCT